TGAGTCTGGAGAAGAAGATTTTTGAAATATTGGATAATTTTCCCTTTGGGGCCCCGCCCTGGCCCCAAGGGTTGGGGTAGGAATCCCAATTTTACAATTTTGAAGCCTCATCTACCAAGGATGATTCTGACCAAGTTTGAAAAAAATCCATCCACTGGTTCTTGAGAAGAAGTTGAAAATGTAAAAGTTTACGCACAACGGACGACGGACGACGACGGACGAAAAGCGATTGGAATAGGTCACTTGAGCAAAGCTCAGGTGACCTAATAACATGACAACCCTAGGACTTCTGGACTACAGGACAAATAACATGACAGCCCTAGGACTTCTGTACTACAGGACAAATAACATGACAGCTCTAGGACTTCTGGACTACAGCACAAATAACATGACAGCCCTAGGACTTCTGGATCTGGAGAAGTTGTTTGCAGTAAAAGCAAAAAGTTGACTTCATATGCCATTTCGTGTCAGTTGAGCTAAGAAACATTTGTCATTTTCATTCTAAATAAATAGTTTCATAATCAAACAGAAAACTCAGACATCTCAACGTTGAATGCTTATTTTTAATTTTGAGTATTTAGACAAGATTCACTTTATTGCACATAAAGTTCACAGTACACAAATTAATGACAAAATGTTTGAATTAAGTTATGACTTCAAACCAGGTTGATAATTTAATACAATTACACAGTTCTTCTGAAAGTTTTATATTAATAGAAATGACACAATGTTTCTAGTTATCTCCCTTTGTTGTTCTGGCTGCACCAATTACATGACTACCTCTTTTGATGTAAAGATATTCCATTACTGGCAAATTATAAAAATAACACAAAATGTCAATGCTATCCTTAGTAGTATAAGAGAGTTGACTCCAGACTGAAGGTTTGAGACCAGAGGTCAAAGTTGATACACTTGAATCCAAGTAAGAGTTACCTTAAGTTGTCAATCTACAAGGATGTGACCATGTCAGGTGATGTTTAAGATATATTCAAGACACATAAGTATTTGTAAAAACACAATGATATAATAGTAAACAGGCAAAATGTACAATTTCTCAGACATCGTCCATTAGTACCATTTAGTATAATACATACAAAGTATACATTTTCACCAGTCCACAAAACACAAGGTATGACATGAACATGATTTTTCTGTGATGATGAGGATCCCATAATTGCTGGTGTATACATGTACTCACAACCTACTTAATAAATTAACTAATTACTGGA